CGAGAAGTCTCCCAACCCCTCGAGTGTTTATATCAGGCTATGCAAACACAGGAAAAAAAGTTTTCTATTGCTTTTATAAAATAACTTTACCGAGAAAAAAACTAAAAACTCGGCACTGATTAAAACAGAAATTCTCACCAGTCCCAAAGTCTTGTACACGAAGTCTTGCACGCGTAATCAGTTCTTGTTTTGCAAAAAGATGCTCTCCAAAATACGGATTTTTCTCGCTTAAAATGTCAGCTCTAGCAAAAAAAACTTGACACACCTTGTTTGTAAAGATTTTCCAATTTTCAACCGACGAAGGAATGGGTAAATAAAGTAACCTTGTCAAGTTTTGAACTAAAAACTTTTTCAAATTCGTGTTTACGTGTTAGCGCGCGTAAAGCAAAACATCTTGACGTCACAACCATGTTCACATACTCTCACGCAAACACGCCTGTCGGCCAATCAGAGCACGCGTACTATCTTAGCTATTTTATAATTTTTAATAGTAAATGACCCTCTGATTCTTAACGTAAATTATGAAGATCTCTCAGTTGATGTTTTGCACCCTGATCTTCTTTTTGAAATTTCCACCACTCAGAGTGAGGTCGAGAACATCTTAGTTAATCTGGACGCTAAGAAGGCAACTGGTGTCGATGGCATACCTGCAATAATTTTGAAATCATGTGCCCGGGAGTTGTCGATGCCCATGATCAAGCTGTTCAACCTGTCGTTTAGTTTAGGTGAAGTCCCCTTGACTTGGAAATGAGCTAATGTTACACAAGTTTTTAAAGACAATGCCAAGGAGAATTTTGAAAACTATAGATCTATCTCCCTGTTATCGATCTTGGGCAAATGTCAGGAAAGAATTATCCACCGTCCCATCTACTCTCATTTTACACCTTTTCTTACTGATTGGCAGCATGATTTTGTGAAGGGCGTTCCTGTACAACTCAGCTGGTCCTCACTCACCCTATGTGGAGCAAAGCGCTAGATGCCGGTCCTCAGGTTGATGCCGTGTTTTTGGACTTTGCTAAGGCGTTCGATCGCGTGAACCATAAGATACTATTGCATAAATTGTGTAACTTTGGAAAATCAAGGTCGCTGCTAGCCTGGTGTGGTGACTAGTTATCGAATCCTAAGGAAAGAGTTTTGGTTGATGGCAAATATTCTAGCTGGCTGAATAACACATATGCTGCATGTTGCTGAGATCGCAAGTGGAATATAGATCAGTTGTGTGGTCGCCACACACCGCAAGAAACATTGACAAGCTTAAGTGCATACAGCGGAGGGGAACAAAATTTATTCTCGGAAAAAAGGAATTTTACCTATGACTAGCGCCTAAAATGTCTTAGTAATTTGCTTTCACTTGAAAAGAGACGCTGTCTTTTTGATGTCACATTTTTGTATAAGGCTTTAAATCAGTTAAATAAATACTTGAATGTGGATGTATCTCCGTTTCTGAACTTTTATTCTCAGGATAATCCGCACAGGTCTAAAAATGTTGATGACTATTCCTTGAAGACTAATTTTGCCAGAACGATTAACCTTTAAATACACTTATTTTAATAGAATTGTTGAAATGTGGAATTCGACACCCTTAGATATTAGATTATCTCGTAGTCTTGCTGTTTTTAAGTCAGGAATGAGGACAGTTTTTAATGTTTTTATATTTGATTTAATATTTTTCTGATTGTTGTTACATATTTATTTATTTCGATTAGCAACATATAGTGATCTGTCTCACATGGATTGTTCCGCTCTTTTACAGATTATCCTTATGGCTTTGTTTGTGTGTACATTTAGATTTATTTGGCATCAAATTGTAATAAATAAATGAATATGAAACGTCCTTGTTAATTGTTGTTAACTGTTGCTAATCTTGGTGGCACCTTAAAAATGTCCTGTTAGTCGTTCCGAATCTTAGATATTGTGGAGAGAAAGAGATTACAAGACAACTGTGGCAATTTTTATCTCTTGCTTTACAAATGATGAATTTATCTCATAATTTCTTCCAGTCATATGTAGTTATAAATAGCCCGAGGGCAAAACGTCCACTCTTACAAGTCACACAATAGTACATCTTGTCACGTTACTGCGCGTGACATCTCTAGATTTCATAGTGTGATTTTTTGCACTGGACATCGCTACAATGTCAAAAGTAAGCTTTCAAATTTGGAAAGTAACAATACAAGTTTTGTTAATATTTAATCCTCTCTCCATTTGATGCTGCTATTAATGGCAAGTGCTTGTTCATTGACTTTGATTGTTTTATCTATTTCGTTTTATCTATGGGAAAATTATTCAAAGTATGGGTCACGCACTCTGAAAATTCAGCAAACGTTTCATGTGTTATTTGTTGGTTGAATCGTAGCAGGTGAAATTCCCGTTTTCTGGCTAGTCTCCTTGACGGAGACGTCCTTCTCGTCTTCCAAAAACGTAATGTTTTCATGCTCCTCTGCACTCAAAGCGCGCGTAAAAACCCTGCATGGAAAATGAAATTCACAAACGTTCTCGATTGGCTACTTGCATCAAGTCGTAAGACAAACAAATCGATTTTCTGTCTCCTCTGTTGTCACTTATTTTCCATTAATTATCTACTTTTCTGTGAAATGTACTAAATATATAAAGAACAGATTTATGTGCCCGCGTTAAATGCTCAAAATCGACTTTTCCAGTCAAATACAATCCTGGACAAAACTATTTAACAAAATATTTTCATTAATGTGCACTACCTAACGCAACAAAACTATTTCCAAATCAACGGTTTTGCGTAAAGAAAACCCCCTCCCCCAGTTCAAAGTTGCTTCCTACAAATGCTTAGGAATCCGGCTTTCTTTTGAAGACCTTACAACACTGCTTCCAGGGGGAGGGGATCGAAGGGAAGAATCGGTCGGCTACGAAGTTTAAGAAAAATGCCCGTGCAGTATGCAATTTTATCAACAGTTTTGTCCAAGATTGTAGCTACAGCTTGCCCGAATGGCAGGCTGTAAAACTGACTTTCTTTGCACCCTGGTACCACTGTCCAACACTGTGGTTGCCCACAGGTAAACGAGGCTCACTATTTGTGTCACTTACGGGGTTTCATATAACGTGAGTAATTGTAGAGAACATATGGGGCGCTGGAAATTTGCTAGAAAATGGAAATAAAATTAATGATTATTGAAACTTACCATGTGGGGAGTTGTTGTTGTCCTTAATGTGCGCACAAATTTTTGGAAAAAATAGTCTCCTTCATCTTTCCTACATAGTAAAGTAGCAAGGTAAAAGGCAGACAGCGGCGTCACGGCTCCCATTGACCCTAGACAAGCACAATTTTTTTTTTTGCGAAAATCGAATCCAGTTGCTAAATAATCACACCAGGCTCGTGGAACATGAATTTCTCTAAACCCTGAATCCACTTAAGCCGGTCCAGCTAGCAACGCGAAGCCAGCAGGCTCCGTAGAACGCTTACTTTAACCTACTAAAATGTTGCCTGCGTAGCAGGCGCTTGGAAGTAGTGGGCGAAAGGGAGAACGGGCTCGCGTGAGGGAGACACGCGTGTCTCCTTCTCGCGCGCCCGTTTTTTTCTTGTGCCCACTACTTCCAAGCGCCTGCTACAGCAGGCTAACTAAAATGGCGGCCCAAAGCCGTTAAGATCACGGCTGGTCCAATTCAATAATGGCACTGATATCGGGGCGCCTGGTGACGAGTATAATAAGTCCCCGTGGAGGCAAGGGAGTCGGACGGTGAGTTAATTCTTAGAGCACTCTGGGACTGCCTTCCCTCCAAGGGGACTTATTATACTCGTGACCAGGTGCCCTGAGCTCAGTGCCATTTTTGAATTGGACCAGTTGTGATCCTAACGGCTTTGGGCCGTCATTTTAGTAGGTTAACGGTTTCATCGATTTTCATTTGCATTTTCTAGCAAATTTCCAGACCTAAACTTCATCACATATGTTCTCTATATTTACTCATGTTATATGAAACCTGTGTGTCACATAAATAGTGAGCCTGGGTTACCTGTGGTTGCCTCCTTGTTCTGTGCATTAGTCACTGCAGCTGGTTCTTATGCTCTGGCTGGATCTGGTGGAGTTGGCCATGTTTCTGTGTAACAAGATGTGGTGGTTGATCGAGTGGGAATGAGAAGGATTCAAGGACTTTCTCAGACAATTTGTTCATATACACATTACAAACTATTAGATAAAAATAAGTCAATTAGGAGCTTCTGAAGAAAGTAAGTCAATTAAAAGCTATCTTAAAAAAGTATGTTTTGAGAGCTCCCTTGAAAGGTGTAAGGCTCTCAATGTTTCCGATCTCCACTGGAAGTTTAGGAGCTGCTGACTGAAAGGCTCGGTCACCGAGTATAGGTATAAGGCACCGTGCGTTGGCTGGTACCAACAAAGTCGCATTCCTGGACCTATGATTAATCTTGACTGGGCAGCGACAGCAATACGATCAACCAGATATTGAGGTGCTAGTCCATAGAGGCACTTGAATGTTCATAACACAGTAATTTTAAATTCAATTCTGTATTTGACAGGCAACCAGTGAAGACCTTTTAAAATAGGAGTACTGTGACAGATGATAGGGGTGTTAAGTTACAAGTCTGGCAGCAGCATTTTGAACTCTTTGAAGTTTATTAATGTGAATATAGTAGGAAGGCCGTATAATAGGCTGTTGCAGTAGTCCAATTTATTGGTAATACAATAATGCATGGATAAGGGATATGACGGTTTGATGAGACAGATACTTTCAGGTACTTCACATCAACGACCACTACAGAAAACATTCTTGGCCCATCCCATTAAGGTCCAAAACATGCGCGCGAGGAGGTTGTACAAGCGCTGCAAAATGTATTTTCATGTTTGGATTTCCAAAGACCTTGCATATAGTGACAATGGAAAGCATTTTATAGGCAAAAGAATGCGAGAATTCTGTAAGTCTAATTCCATAGCACAAATTTTCATGGTGCCCCTAGGACTCCCACAACACAAGGACTGGTAGAACGAGGCAATCGTACTTTCAAAGAAAATATAAGTAACATTCTTAGAGAGAGAAAAGCTGAGCACAACAGTTGGTGGTCTGTGCTTAGTGAAGCAGCATACAAGAAAAACATTGCCATACATGCTGCAACCAAAGAAATGTCCATACGTTGCAGTTTTTTTGGGATAAAACCTTGAAAGCAAACAAACGATAATGATGTATCCATGGAGAATAATAACACTAATAATGAAACAACAACCATTGTTATGAGAAGTTCAAAAAAAAAAATTAAAAGCAGTGTAATTGAAAATCAAGAGCATCATGATGCAAAAATGAAACAAGCAAGAGGAAAAGCACCCTCCTTTTGAGTCGATGACATACAGTAGCCATAAAAATCAATAAAGTTGATAAGACCTTGCCTCTTCCCCCTAATGTCGATTGGAAAAATCCTCCATGTTGAAAATAATTACACCAAAGTTGTTATAAGCCATGGAATAATTTCAACATTTATTTCAGCCAGTCACTTAAATAAGTGTACAGCTGCAAATAATGTTTTTGTATACTCCAAAGAGAGTTTCTCTCGATCAGCTTGCAAACAAGCCATGAATTAACTAACATTGCTGGAGGATGCCTATACACTGAGCCAGGACTCAACCTTGGACTCGAGTAAGGACTCGAGCCAGGACTTCGTGCTAGGACTTGAGCCCTAGCTCGAGTCCTGGCTCGAATCCTGGCTTTGATGTTAAATTATCTCACATTGCTGATGTTGAAATTATGAGAATAAAGTGTAAATGAGTCACTAAATGAATAAGTCACAAGTCAATGAAAGAACTCAAAATCTCTTGAATTTGCTGCCAATATCTTCTTTGTTAAGTAATACCAGCACATAATATAGTCCCTATGTAGTGACAAACCTAACCCTAAAGAAATGCTTACTCGATCACTATTGTCAGTGCTTAACCCCAATCATTATTGTCAGTGCTTAAACCTAATCAGTATGGTCAGTGCTTAACTCTACAGTGTAATCACTATTGATGGTGCTTAGAGCAATTTTCAATTTAGTGTTGAAAGTAATCCGGGATTGCATTGGTTTTGCTTTACTGTGCTCTGTGAGTGGTCTAGAAAACTCGCGCCACCTTCTAAGCCAATCAGATACAAAACTAAAACCAATCGCGACTTAGTTACTCGCGTTTTCCCGCGCTTAAGGTCGGTTACATGCGTTTACTTCGATTTCTCATTGGCTTCCTCTGATATTTTCGTTTGTTCTGATTGGCCGTTGTGATTACTTTGGTTTTGGTTTACGACACTCAATCAAAAAGCGCTCTAACCCTAATCACTATAATCATTGCTTTACCCAGACCTGACTCAGCTGTCTTGACTCATGATTCATTTGACTTTAAAGGCTTTCTGCCAATTTACTAACAGTTATAAAAAGACATTTATTTTTATAAATAAAGTGACTACAGATCTCTGTAGTGTTGCTGATATGATTTGAGTGGCTAGCATATTTACTTTAGATTTAGTGCAAACATATCAATGCAATATGGCTTACTGCATTACTATTTAATGGTACCTTAAAAATAACCAAAGTCAAAGTTAACCTTAAATCAAATTTGATCTGTAACAATTATCTTTCACTATTCTTTTATTCAGAATCAAAACAGTTATACAATGCAAGAAAACACAATAATATATAGATATAACCCGGGCTAAAAGCAAAGCTGTCATTAATATCTATTTAACAAATAGATTCCATGTTGCCTTGCGTCTGTTCAGTAATAGATCACAGATGACGTCAAAATGTCGTAAAAACAAAGAAGTGGCACGGGAGCCGCAGGCGAGTGTGTCACTGTTGTTTTTACCACATTTTGACGTCCTCTGTGATCTATTACTGAACAGACCCACGGCAACATGGAATCTATTTGTTTTATACAATGATCAGGAAAGAAAAAGACCGATACACATACCTGCCTCGAACCGCTTGACCCTTTGAGGATTTGTGCTAGTTTTCATGGCATTTTTCAAGTCCCAAACCCAACTTTTCATCTTAGCTTCTTCTTTATCTTACTTGTGTACAGTTTCTTCGAAAAGTTTTTCACCGTCTTTTCTTGCTCAAAGGAGAGTAATAGCGAAAACATTTTGCAAAACAGCGAGTCTCTCGTAGCGAAGACACACGATGGCAACTGTTGTGAAGATTTCTTGTAGTTTAGGCATTGTCAAGTAGTCAATAGCTTTTTTGGTCCCCGTTTCTCCATTTTCCTTCTTTGTAAATAGCTCCTGCTAAACTTTTTCCGAAGCTTTCACTTGGCTCAATCCGAAATAATCTCACAAACATTTTCAAAACCGCGTGCCATGTTGAACAAAACAAAGAAAACAAGTTTCCCGTGACGTCATCCATGTATCTGTACTGTAATAGATCATGGGCAACGACCAATCACAGCGCGCGTAGCATTCACATCATTGTATAAAGTTTACTGAAACAAAATATAAAATCGTGTAATGCTAAGTGGCGAAGGCAATGAAAACAGCCAAAAAATTCAGTAGGTCTAATTGGCAGAAAACAACTTTGCACGTGCGGCACACTATTTTTGTACATTTCTTTCCCGTTGTTTTGCACAACCAGAATGTGAAACTTCCAGAAACTTCCTAGTTACAAGTTTTATGGAGGAAATGTTGTATGTGTTCCTGTTCACTCTTTTTTCACTGCCACTCATTTTCACCTTGGTGGCCGGTAGCACTTCTCATTTTCTCACCACCGCTATAAAATTGTCATGTTACTCTACCAACGAAATCAGTCTCCTTTGTTTTTTATCTCTCGCTCTAGCTCTTTCTCTGTTATCCACGTCAATGAAGACATTACAATTAAGTGGAAAGAAAGAATCGACATTGTTGTTGTTGTTTTTTATCTCTAAAAGTCCGAGTGGCTATGCGATTTACCGCCGAAACGCACGGGTACCTGAAATGCAAAATTTCACCCTGGCTTACATGAAGGGGTGCACGTACGTACGTACGCGTACGGACGATTTTCTCAGAACCAAATTTTCTTGGATGCATAGATAACCAAATTTTCTTACACATGCTGCTCCTCTATTATTTTGTGTTTGTGTTTTTTTTTTTTGCTAATCAAGGAAGCCCTGTTTATTTCCTTATTATTTGGGCGTGGTCCAAATAGAGTAATCGAGTTCCCTTGTTTTGATTCAAAGTTGCAACAGGCACGCAATACTTGCGAACGTCAACAAGCCAAGCGACGCGAATGTCTGCCACGCACTGTGTCACAACACATCATTTATCTTCGTTACATACTCTTACAGATAACGCACGGCAAACAAATTTGCAATAGAAAACAAACTTTTGGAAAAACAAGGTCCACTGAGCGAAACAAACTATTAAATAATTTAAATTTTCCCTTTGGAAAATAATCGTCCTCACAGCACACGGTGTGAATGGTTTGGCTTATTGACAAGAGTCTGACGATATTTTTGCTCTCAGTTGTCGAACCCTAAAGATGTCACGCAATCTCATGGGATAATTAAGGGTAACATTGAATGATGCATAATTTCATTGCATATTTTCGGAAGGGAGGTGATTTCTTAAAATCTATTGAGCAAAATCACCTCGTAAACAAGTTGCACTCTTTAACAGTCGAACCGTAAAAGAGGCAGAGTCCAACATCTTCACGTGCAAACCGTGTTCTATTTTCAAAACCCTTGGGTTAAGTAGATTAAGTCGTATCCTCTCATACACGAACCACGGAAGCGGCAAATTCCAAAGCTTTCACGTTCAAACTGCGTGACAATACAACAGTAAGGGCCTGATCACATGAGCCAAGGAAGCAGTGTGCATGAACAGTGTGTTACCCGCTGTCCTGTTTTTCGCTTGGTTGATTCGCCGGCCCGCGCGGCAAGCATGATTACTTGGAAAATTTCCGCCCAAAATCCCGGCATCACAATACTGGGATCCCAGCTGACCGGGCTGAATTTGTTGTCATATAATCGCAAAGTTGAATTTTTGCTGCATTTAACTAAGGTGCTGGGTTTTCTGCAAAGCGAGCTAGCCCGGCTCATGTAATCAGTTCTACAGCCAGATTTTACACCCTCCCCTTGACCTCACCGATTTTTCAAAGCTCCCGAGCACACACACAAAATTTGAGCCCCCCACATCTTTCATACCTCAGTCTCTATATTAAATGAACATTTGGCCTAATCCGTGTTCTCTCGATACAAATATGATCAAAAATAGCCAAAAAACAATCCTAAAAGAACGTTTAAAATAAGTACAAATATGTTTTCGACTATTGATAACACTTTTCACAAACACCACTTCATTTCAACACACTGTAACTACACTATCCCTTCATAACCAAATTAGCACTTCCAGAACTACCTCACTGCAACACCTAAAATCACTTTAACACCTCCCAAAATAATAATTCTTTGTTACTTCATATTAAATTCTACGAGAAACAAGTTTCACTGATGAACAAACTACAGCCATTATTTCACCAAATCACGTCCAATATAACTCCACGCTTCCACTTCACGCATCTCAACCAACCCCTAAAATATGCAACGCTACTGCACTACTCGTACATCCCTAATACACATAATAAAAACTTAACACACGCCTAGCACATCGACGCCCAAATATACGCTCCCACAGCGTCTTGTTCCTTGCGAAGCGAGGCGCAAAGCCAGGCGCGAAGTGCAAGAGAAGAGAGTTTATAATATCGTCGCGTGCGCTCGCAGTGCGTGGACTGCGCGTGGATCCTTAGCGAGTAGTAGACTCGCAGCGCCCATCTATACTTGTATATATCCAATGGTGTCCGCCATGACGTCATACAGTAGTTTGACGTCACAGCACATTTTTCGTTTCCAGGCAACATTCGACTGAAAGCGATTTTCATCATATCAATGGCCAAAGTGCTTGTTTTTTTTGCGGTCGTCTTAGGAGTCGTAAGTGCTTTTTGCAATTGAATTTGGAATGCAAAAATACTTTTAAGAGCAAATGGAAGCGATTTTGGATAATTAGCCTTAAGATATGAGCGAAAATCGGGGTAACAAAACACGTTTTGCTCGCAGACGAGTTTAATATACAATATCGGCTTATAGTTGGGCATCTGCCCGTGGTTGTTCAAAAGTTGGATAGCCCTTTTACCGGATAAATCGCTATCTAGTGGATAAGTATTACGAAAACTAATTGCGTTATCGACTGGATAGTGATTTATCCGGTGGATAGCGCTATCCACCTTCTGAAATTTAAATGCGATGAAATGCGTTTACCTTAGGTTTCTATCGTCAAAACAGCAGTCATTCTTGTGAAAAGTATCTCTGAATTCGTGTTTGATAGGGCTCGATCAACTTTGTACAGGACGCGCATGCGGAAGTTCTAGGCAAAAGGGTTTTAATGAAATGTGTTTCATGTGGCGCAGTGGTAACGAAATGGCCTGGCTTGCAAAAGGTCCCGAGTTCGATTCTGGGCAAAACCCATTTTTTTCTTCTCTTCGTTTCTGTTTTTTTCTTTTCCTTTACGTTTAGTCTTCTTTTTAGTTATTGTAGTTTTGTTTTTTTTGTTATATAGCTTGAGTTTTTTAAATTTATAAATTTTCTTCCTTATTGCCTCATTTTCCTTTCAACTTCTTAGTCCTTCGTGAGGTCCTGCGATTCACGTATTTCTAGTTCATATTAATATCTTTATATGAGTGTCTACATAATGATATAATACTCAAGTACATGTACATATAGCCTAGTAGTAGCTCCACCAATCAGAACGCAGCATTGATAATAGACCACTGGTTGGATTTTACTAAATAATGATATGTTACTCAAGTACATGTAAACCTACTTTCTTGTGGTCTTGGACTAGTGTCCAATGTACTTCTAAGGTCAACACTGATACTGTCAAGCAATACATTGAATGTGAGTATAATACATCTCACTATCACATTTACCTTTAATTAAAAGACTTAGTTTCCTTTGTCAACACATAAAGCTAAGTGTTGTTTTGTCAGTGTGTCTTTAGATCACTGAAGTACATTATTAACATCATTCCTAGGTTATTTTGTAAAGTAGATATTAAACTGAAAATGTTCACCATTCTGATTAAGAGGGTGCATTTCTCTATTAATTTCGTATCACAGGTAAGCCTGAATTCACTGAACACCCACAGAGTCAGACACTGGTGCAAGGATCAAGTGTAACCTTTTCAAGTGATGCAAATGGCATTCCTGATCATGAGCCAACGTTTTCTTGGACCAAAGATAGATTTCCTGTGACTGCCGACAATAGAATCAGTTTTTCAGCAGATAACAAGCAACTGAGCCTAACAAATGTGAATAGGAAAGACAGTGGAGAATACGTATGTGTGGCCACCAACAGTGTGAGGACAGTTTACTCCAATGCAGCTACATTGACAGTTCATTGTAAGGAAACCTTTACTAGTTTTTTACTTAAGTCACTGAATTATTGGGCAACTCTGTGGTGCTAAGTAACCTTCGTAAATTTTGATTTTCCTTTCACTGCCTCTATCTATTTTAGCCACTCCTTATCAACATCATTCTGTAGGTGATTTCAGAAACTAAATGGAAAACGGGGGTTTAATTATTATTTTATCTCTTTCTTATGACAGTTCCGCCAGAATTCACTGCACACCCACAAGGTAAAACGTCAATGCAAGGATCAAGTGTAGCCTTCTCAACTGATGCAAATGGCGTTCCTGAACCAACATTTTCTTGGACCAAAGATGGATCTGCCGTAACTGCCGACAATAGAATCAGTTTTTCAGCAGATAACAAGCAACTGAGCCTAACAAATGTGAATAAGACAGACAGTGGAGTATACAGATGTGTGGCTACCAACAATGTGGGCACAGTTAAATCCAATGCTGCTACATTAACAGTACCTTGTAAGAAAACTTTTACTCACTTTTTACGTAAACCCAATCGTGTAGCCCTTAATCCTTTCAAATTCCTTTCACCGCTCCTTTCCTGGATTATCTCAGTTACTCCATATGGGCACTGCCTTTCAAAAAAAGGGACTTGTTGGGTGCCATTCAAACTTGATTACCTCTCACTATTATTTTATTCAGAATCGAAAAAATTGTACAATGCCAGAAAACACATTTGCTACTCTAGGGGGCCCTGTGTTTTTCCTTATTCATCTCAATATCTTTATATGAGAAGTGTCTACATATGTTACTCAAGTAAAGCCAGTTTCTTGTGGTCTTGGACTAGTGTCCAAAGTACTGCTAAGGTCAACACTAATACTGTCTATCAATACATTGACTGTGCTTATAGAACGTCTCGGTATCACATTCACCTTTAAAAGACTTTGTTTACTTTGTCAACACGTAAAGTAATTTCTCTTAGCTAGGTGTTGTTTGGTCAGTGTGTCTTTAGTTCAGTGAAGATCATTATTAACTTCAGGGCTAAGTTATTTTGTAAAGTAGATATCAAACTTAAAATGTGCATCATTTTGTTTAAGAGGATGCACATATTTATTAATTTCTTATCACAGATAATCCTGAATTCACTGAACACCCACAGAGTAAGACACTGGTGCAAGGATCAACTGTAACCTTTTCAAGTGATGCAAATGGTGTTCCTGAACCAACATTTTCTTGGACCAAAGATGGATATGCTGTAACTGCCAATGATAGAATCGTTTTATCAGCAGATCACAAAGAACTGAGCATTACCAATGTGAATAGGACAGACAGTGGAGAATACAGATGTGTGGCTACCAACAGTGTGGGCACAGTTATCTCCAATGCTGCTACGTTAAAAGAACATCGTAAGAAAACTTTTACTCAATTTTTATTTAAACCCAATTGAAAAATCCTGTAGCAATAAGCAAGCACTGTTTTACATTCCGCTGCTCCTTTCCTGGACACTCCAAATGAGCACTGCCTTTCAAAAAAGTGCTTGTCAGGTGCCCCTCTAACTTGATTACCTTTCACCATTCTTTTTTTCAGAATCAAAAAAGTTGTGGAACGCTAAAATACACAATTATTTCGTATTTGTGTTCTTTTTTTGCTAATCAACGGAGTCCCGTCTATTTCCTTATTCATTAAAAAATATCTTTATATGAGAAGTGTTCTACATATGTTTCAACACACTGGAACCACACTATCCCTTTATAACCAAATTAGCAGTTCCACAACTACCTCACTGCAACACCTAAAATCACTTTAATATCTCCCAAAATAATTATTTTTTGTTTTTTTTTTTTTGTATTAAGAGTCGTTGTCAGAGAAAAGCGGGCAAAATGTTAAAAATGTCAACGGAATGGGGTCAACAGAATAAGTTCATACTAACATCATAGATAGGTTAGGTGGAGTAATGGACAAATATAATAAATGTAGGTTCTTCACTGCTCTTGTATTAGAGATACGAGCATCACTTTATTCGACCCCCTCGGACGCCATTTTTATAAGCAAATTTTCACCATTTTCTGACACTCACAGAACCCTCAAAATTAAACGAGCGAACTTTGTTTTATGCATGCGATACAATACATTACAGAACTACTTTCTGAAACCATAAGATCTGTTAAGCAGCCACGGACAAGACTAAAATTTTCTTATTTTATCTGACCTAAACTCAGTGTCCGCAAACGAGCAAAAAATCGGACATTTTTGAATTGATCTAAAACGCACAACTAAAACGACAGAACAACTCTGACAGCCAAATTGCAGTCTACTATCATCCATGTAACCAAAACAATAATCATCATTTTGGGCCATTGAAACAGGAAGAAATTAGAAAACTCACATTTGTTATAGTTTCCAAGTTTTTTCTTGCAAACAGGCCGATCCCTTCGTGTTTCTTTTAAGTCCTCTTCGTGAATTTTCTTTTATATTTCGCTGTAAAGTATGTTCAGCAGCTGGAGGAAATATCAAAAAGCTCGAAATACTGCTTAGGTTACATTTTGAAAGGGTAAAAAATGCTGAACGATAGGATGAAACTAGAAGATAACAAAGCGACGCCATCTTGAAAATTCAGCACTCAGGAGGGACTGGCACTAGTAGTTGCGTTCGATATCTAAACATACGGACAAAAATTGCAAATTTTCCACGAGCACATAGAAAAGCAAACATAATATAGAAATGTAACCAGAAAGGTTCGGATTGATGTTAGAATTTTTCTTTATCGAACGTGGGCTATTACGAACTATTACCAGGAGCAGGCTCCTGCAAGAGCCTATGGGCTCCTGATTACCAATAAGATAAAAAAACAAAAAACAAACAAACCAGCTTATCAGCGACCTACTTCAGTCTTATTTCTTCTTCAATTACTTCTTTTAGTTGGATTTAGCTTGTTTTTCTTTCAAAGGAAAAAACAAGAAGAACGTCTGATCGCAGGTTAATTGGTGATTAACTGGCATTGCTTCATTCCCTCCTCATTTCAAGATGTCCCGTGAATGTAGATAATATTAAAGATCTATTTTGTCTCTTTATGAATCACTTAACTTTGCTCTCATGCGAGCTAGCTAGACTTGCTATATATCAACCTCGCGAGTTTCGAAGCGTGCGGGCTAACTGCGGGCAGTGGATATTGCTTGCTGTAAAATTTGCAATAATTTTTATTACCAACTGTTTATTAAAATTTAAAATAAACATAGTACATGCAGTTGAATCAGTGTGCGGAGCGGGCGTTTTAGGTCACAAAGCGGCCAAGGGAGCCAGTGGACGAAGTACTTTTTTGAAAGTAAGCCTTCTAACTGATGATCTCATCGCTGTCACTTCGTATTTCCATAAGGTAATAGACCTTCAAATGTTGACAAGAGCTGTCAAGATAAGCCATTCATAGCGTTTACCAGAATCTGGTATACCGGAAGGATCCAGAAGGAGCTTTTGTTAAAAAGTACCATTAAAGGAGTTCTTACGACTCTCACTCCGTACCCCTTTCAATCATTGTTTTTTGTGCCGTCACTTCTTTTTCAGAATGCTCTTTGCACGGTCCACACAAGATAAACGCCACGTTTAGAGGGAACGCGCAAATTCTCTTACAGATTGCAGTACTGTTTGCAGCTCAAACACTTTACGGTTCCGCGGGTCGCATGTAAAGAAAAGGCGGATCCGTGCAAGTATATGGCCGTTCAAAAATTTGTAAAAGGGGTCCGAGTGTTAACTCGAGTTGTTACCTTTTCCATCATATTGATCATTGATTTAAGTCGTACACCTGGAAGTTTACAGCCACTAGGCTCCTTTTGGTTACTGGTGTAGCTGTGAAAGAATTGACATCTCCTACATCTCTTCGTCACTGGATTTGTCAAAAACCCTCTCACTACGGTGTTTAACAAAAGCAGTCCTCACATTTAGAGAAATTGTCAAGGTCTTGCCTTAAATTCAGAGGAGGCAATAATGACAGAAATGGAATTTATTCATCTCCTAAGTAGTTAATTTCCAACGCCATTTCGTTTGTTAATCTTTTCCACGGCGCTGTTGCAAAAAATGCGCCCGCGAGTCACACGAGATGGCACAAAATGTGCTAAAAATAGCACATTTAATGGCTATGATATATATTTCAGGGGCACCCAACGACAATTTTCGGAAAATATCTGTTCGGAAGACGATTTGCGATCTAGAATTTTTGGAGCCTTTGTTGTAAAATTTCTTGCTTGCCTGCCTCTCCCAGGATTTTCGAACATCTAAAAAATGGTATAATTGCCCATTTTTAACGGATTTTTACCCTTAAAAGATCACCTAGAATTTTTCGTGAGCCTTTGTTCTGGCTGAAATTTTCGAAAAGGTAAGTTTTGATCCCTATAATATACTAAAATACGTTTAACAATGCTATGTTTAAGTGGTTTTGAACTATCTTCTCGTTGGGTGCCCCTGATATTTCGATGAAGTCAGCCCCATCCCTGGAAAAGGTATCCAGTTACCTGGATACCTTTACGGTTATGGTCTACTACCCCGATTTAGACATATATGCTCCTGGTAGAGTATAAAAACGAAATTTTGTTTAATTTCGCAGCGTAATTAGCGTTGCTAGATAACTCTGTCCGCCATCAGGAGCCGGTAAACCACAATTAAAACCAAAAATGTATGAGTAAAGACTACACATCAATATTCATATTAATCTTGTAAAAATTCTAGTATGAGCCGTTAAAATTGTTGAATGACCTTCTTCACCTCAGACACTCGTGTCAGTCAAGTGTGAATCGAAGTCCCCCATTTTGCCTTTTTGTTCAAAAAAAACCTCTGACCTAGCAGCCCGGCTGCATCTTGCGCTCATCACCCGCCCCCAAGGGGTGAGGATCTGGCTCCTTTTTCATAGGAAATTCATAAATTGTCTACTAAAACACCGTGCAATATGGAAGTAAGGCCAATTTAAGCACTAAGAGCTGCTCAGATATCTCAGATTTGGAAAAAAACTAGTGAGAGAAATTGCTCAGAAATTATACAAAAAGTTGCTTGAAACGAAAAAAGTTGCTCGAAATACTAGAAGTTGCCAAAAGGTTGCCAAGCAACTTGTGGAAAGCCCTAGGGAAAAGGGGAGGGGGGTGGGAGGCTACTCAATAAAGCTTTGCTCGGAGAGGCTTCGCCCCGAGGTCCAGTCCCTTACCCTTATATATACTATTTTTGACAAAAGGTACCCCTTTCGTGTATCTTCCATTGAAAAGTTGTACCCTTTTCATATATCTGCTTCGTAAGAATAAATCGGCAAGAAAGGAGGTCTTCGGGCCATTTTCGTGTAACCTTTAACTGAATTAACATGTAAATGATATTGCCATAAGGCGTGTTTCTTCGAAGCATTTTAATAAAAGGCCCTTTAAAATACTTAATGAAAGATTTTCCTCTCCTTTCACATACTTCAACGTGTGATTTTCCTACCCTTTGTTACACCTGATGCTTGAAAGAGGTACCCTTCGGGCGAAGCCTTCCGGACTACGAAAAGTGCATCATGAAATCAGGAACAGGAGATGAGTGGACCATCGGACATGGACGGTGATTGAAGTTCACGCAAACATAGATGATACAATAAAGGCGGTGCGTCGCATGGGACGTTAGTCGCGTTGCACCTACCCCTTTTGGGTTTTTGCTTCTAAATTCCTTTTCTTTTCTTTTTTTTTTTGTGTGTTGTATTATAAATTTATATTGTATATTACAAAAGGATTACCCAATAAAGCTGTGGAAAAAAAAAAAGATTCCAAGCAAAGCCTTATACGGGATAACTCAAAATGAAGTGAATGAAGAGTAAATGAAGAGTGAATAAAGTAATGGCAATTGGTCACCTGTTCACCACACCCTATCACTCCGCCAAAAAAAAAGACAACACAAAACAAGCTAAATGTAACTAAAAGTAGTGATTGAAGAAGAAATAGGGGTGTAGTAGGTAACTGATAAGCCGGTTTGTTTGTTTGTTTTTGTTTTTTATCTATTTGGTAATTCATCGAATTCATCACCTCGTGGACAAGGCAGCTACTAGTGCCAGTCCCTCCTGAGTGCTGAATTTTCAAGATGGCGTCGCTTTGTTACTTTCTAGTTTCATCCTATTGTTCAGTACTTTTTGCCCTTTGAACATGTAACCTAGGCAGTATTTCGAGCTTTTTGATATGTTCTCCAGCTCCTGAACATACTTTACAGCGAAATGCGAAAGAAAATTCACGAGGAGGACTTAAAAGAAACACGAAGGGATCGGCCTGTTTGCAAGAAAAAGCTTGGAAACTATAACAAATGTGAGTTTTCTAATTTCTTCCTGTTTCAATGGCCCAAAATGATTATTAGTGTTTGGTTACATGGATGATAGTAGACTGCAATTTGGCTGTCAGAGTTGTTCTGTCATTTTAGTTGTGCGCTGTAGATCAATTCAAAAATGCCCGATTTTTTGCTCGTTTGCGGACACTGAGTTTGGGTCATATGATATAAGAAAATTTTAGTCTTGTCCGTGGCTGCTTAACAATTCTTATGGTTTTAGAAAGTAGTTCTATGATGTGTTGTATTGCATACAAAAAATAAACTTCGCTCGTTAAATTTTGAGGGTTCTGTGAGTGTCAGAAAATGGTGAAAATTTGCTTATAAAAATGGCGCCCGAGGGGGTTCAATAAAGTGTTGCTCGTATCTCTAATACAAGAGCAGTGAAGAACCTATGTTTATTGTATTTGTCCATTACTCCACCTAACCTATCTATGATGTTAGTATGAACTTATTCTGTTGACCCCCTTCCGTTGACATTTTTAACATTTTGCCCGGTTTTCTCTGACAACCACTCTTAAATTCTACGAGAAACAAGTTTCACTGATGAACAAACTACAGCCATTATCTTACCAAATCACGTCCAATATAACTCCACGCCTTCCACTTCACACGTCTCAACCAACCCCTAAAATATGCAACGTTACTGCACTACTCGTACATCCCTAATACACATAATAAAAACTTACCACACGCCTATTACATCGACGTCCAAATATACGCTCTCACAGCGTCTTGTTCCTTGCGAAGCGAGGCGCAAAGCCAGTCGTGAAGTACCGAGCAAAGAGAGTTTATAATCTCGTCGCGCGCGCTCGCAGTGCGTGGACTGCGCTTGGATCCTTAGCGAGCAGTAGACTCGCAGCGCCCATCTATACTTGTAGTTAGTATATACACACTCAGTGATCTTGGTGATTTAAGCAATCTGATTGGTCCGCTATCTCGGACTATTCAACAATATTCACCTCCTAGCGAGTGGATAATGTGTGAGTTCGGTGTTTTCCCCATTTTTTTAGAGAACGATCTTTTAAAAGTAAACAAAATCCTAGGGCTGACTTTTTTAAGGCAAGAAAAGACTTGAAAGGATTGAATACGGCGTTTTTCAATTTACTGTAGTTGAGTTTTGTGATCTTTCCCGTGTATTCGCGTAGAAAAAGCCGTTTCGCGAACTCAACGTTTTCTAACAAGAAAATTTTGGCTCAAAAGTTAATTTATGACAAACAGATTTCAAAGGAAATGTTTGCAGAAATTCCGCATTTCAAGTAAACAGGAAAAATAATGATACAGGAAGACGACGTCTTACCTCGAGCAACCGAGCCCCCCTTTTTGTCAGCACTTCATGCGAAGAACGACACAACAAACCCTTTTGGTTATAAACTTGGCGAGTCAACAGAATCAACAAAGCTCTACTTTTCGTCTCAGGCAAGGAAACAATTCAAACTTTTAGCGGTTCCATTTAAGCCTTTAGGCTGTTGTTTGCGAAATTATAAACTTGTGAATTGCCATGTTTCAAAATTCTGCAAAGATCTATTTTTAAGCTTACGCGTGATTTGATCTGTCAATCAAATCATACTTTTCAATGGTTTCCTCTCTGATTTTGTTGAGATCACTTCGTGTGTATATACTAAAACAATTATTCTTTTCAATCTCGGCGAATAATGGCTTTAGGAATATTTACCTCGCCGCTTCGCGGAGCGGTAAATAAATCGCCACTATTTACCTCGATTTCAAAGAATAATTGTTAAATATACGATGGTGTCCGCCATGACGTCATACAGTAGTTTGACGTCACAGCACATTTTTCGTTTCTATGCAACATTCGACTGAAAGCGATGTCCCATCATATCAATGACCAAACTGCTTGGTTTTTTTGCGGTCGTTTCAGGAGTCTAAAGTGCTTTTTGCAACTGAATTTTGAATGCAAAAGTACTTTTAAGAGCCGATTTTGGATAATTAGCCTTAAGATATGAGCGAAAATCGGGGTAACAAAACACGTTTTGCTCGCAGACGAGTTTAATATACAATATCGGCTTATAGTTGGGCATCTGCCCGTGGTTGTTCAAAAGTTGGATAGCCCTTTTACCGGATAAATCGCTATCCAGTGGATAAGTATTTCGAAAACTAATTGCATTATCGATCGGATAGTGATTTATCTAGTGGATAGTGCTATCCACCTTTAGAAATTTAAATGCGATGAAATGCGTTTACCTTAGGTTTCTATCGTCAAACAGCAGTCATTCTTGTGAAAAGTATCTCTGAATTCGTGTTTAATAGGGCTCGATCAACTTTGTACAGGACGCGCATGCGGAAGTTCTAGGGAAAAGGGCTTTAATGAAATGTGTCTCCCGTGGCGTAGTGGTAACGAAATGGCCTGGCTTGCAGGAGGTCCCGAGTTCGATTCTGGGCAAAACCCATTTTTCTCTTCCCTTCGTTTCTGTTTTTTTCTTTTCCTTTAACGTTTAGTCTTCTTTTTGTTTGTTTCTTTATATAGCTTGAGTTTTTTAAATTTATAAATTTTCTTCCCTATTGCCTCATTTTCCTTTCAACTTCCTAGCCGTTCTCCCGAAGTCCTTCGTGAGGTCCTGAGATTCACGTATTTCTAGTTTATATTAATATCTTTATATGAGAAGTTTCTACTTGACAATTACTCCTCGAGCCCGAATGTGCTCTGAGTTAATAGCCCATGAGGCCGAAGGCCGAATGGGCTATTGACTCAGAGGCCATGAGGGCGAGAGGAATAATTGTTTTAGTAAAATCCAACTAGTTGGTCAAAAATATCGAGAATAAAAAACTTTTAGCTAGTTATAGCTAGAATTTAATCCTTTTTTGCCGCCTAAAAGCCCGCGCTTGTCGCTACTAATGGGTTATAACATATAGCCTAGTAGTAGCTCCACCAATCAGAACGCAGCATTGATAACAGACTAGTTGGATTTTACTAAATAATGATATGTTACTCAGGTACATGTAAACCTATTGTAGTTTCTTGTGGTCTTGGACTAGTGTCCAGTGTACTTCTAAGGTCAGCACTGATACTGTCAATCAATACATTGACTGTGAGTATAGAACATCTCACTATCACATTTACCTATAATTAAAAGACTTAGTTTCCTTTGTCAACACATAAAGCTAAGTGTTGTTTTGTCAGTGTGTCTTTAGATCATTGAAGTACATTATTAACATCAGTCCTAAGTTATTTTGTAAAGAAGATATTAAACTGAAAATGTTCACCATCGTATCACAGGTCAGCCTGAATTCACTGAACACCCGCAGAGTCAGACACTCGTGCAAGGATCAAGTGTAACCTTTTCAAGTGATGCAAATGGCATTCCTGAGCCAACATTTTCTTGGACCAAAAATAGATCTGCTGTAACTGCCGACAATAGAATCAGTTTTTCAGCAGATAATAAGCAACTTAGCCTAAAAAATGTGAATAGGACAGACAGTGGAGAATACGTATGTGTCGCCACCAACAGTGTGAGGACAGCTTACTCCAACGCAGCTACATTGACAGTTCATTGTAAGAAAATCTTTACTCACTTTTTACCTAAGTCAAATTATTGTGCAATTCTGTAGTGCTAAGTAACCTTCGTAAATTTTTATTCTCCTTTCATTGCCTCTATCTATTTTAGCCACTCCTTATCAACATTATTCTGTAGGTGATTTCAGAAACTAAATGGAAAACGAGGGCTTAATTATTATTTTATTTCTTTCTTATTACAGTTCCGCCAGAATTCACTGCACACCCACAAGGTAAAACGTCAATGCAAGGATCAAGTGTAGCCTTCTCAACTGATGCAAATGGCGTTCCTGAACCAACATTTTCTTGGACCAAAGATGGATCTGCCGTAACTGCCGACAATAGAATCAGTTTTTCAGCAGATAACAAGCAACTGAGCCTAACAAATGTGAATAAGACAGACAGTGGAGAATACAGATGTTTGGCTGCTAACAGTGTGGGCACAGTTAAATCCAATGCTGCTACATTAACAGTACCTTGTAAGAAAACTTTTACTCACTTCTTACTTAAACCCAACTGAAAAATCCTATAGCAATAAGTAAGCATTCTTTTACATTCCGCTGCTCCTTTCCTGAATTATCTCTCAGTCAGTCACTCCATATGAGAACTGCCTTTAAAAAAAAGGGGGCTTGTTGGGTGCCCTTCTAACTTGATTACCTTTCACTATTCTTTTATTCAGAATCAAAAAAGTTGTTTAATGCCAGAAAACACATTTGCTACTCTAGGGGGCCCTGTGTTTTTCCTATTCATATCAATATCTTTATATGAGAAGTGTCTACATATGTTACTCAAGTAAAGCCAGTTTCTTGTGGTCTTGGACTAGTGTTCAGAGTACTGCTAAGGTCAACACTAATACTGTCTATCAATACATCATCGACTGTGATTATAGATCAACACATAAAGCAATTTCTGTTATCTGGGTGTTGTTTTGTCAGTGTGTCTTTAGGTAAGTGAAGTTCATTAATAACTTCAGGCCTACGTTATTGCTATTTTGTAAAGTAGATATTAAAATCAAAATGTACATCATTCTGATTTAAGAGGGTGCATATATTTACTAATTTCTTATCACAGATCAGCCTGAATTCAATGAGCACCCACAGAGTCAGACACTGGTGCAAGGATCAAGTGTAACCTTTTCAAGTGATGCAAATGGTGTTCCTGAGCCAACATTTTCTTGGACCAAAGATGGATATGCTGTAACTGCCAATGATAGAATCGTTTTATCAGCAGATCACAAAGAACTGAGCATTACCAATGTGAATAGGACAGACAGTGGAGAATACAGATGTGTGGCTACCAACAGTGTGGGCACAGTTATCTCCAATGCTGCTACGTTAAAAGAACATCGTAAGAAAACTTTTACTCAATTTTTATTTAAACCCAATTGAAAAATCCTGTAGCAATGAGTAAGCATTCTTTTACATTCCACTGCTCCTTTCCTTGATTATCTCTCAGTCAGTCATTCCATATGAGAACTGCCTTTCAAAAAAAGTGCTTGTTAGGTGCCCCTCTAACTTGATTACCTTTCACTATTCTTTTATTCAGAATCAAAAAAGTTGTGGAACGCTAAAATACACAATTATTTCGTATTTGTGTGTTTTTTTGCTAATCAACGGAGTCCCGTCTATTTCCTTATTCATTAAAAAATATCTTTATATGAGAAGTGAGAAGTGAGAAGGGGGATAGCGATAGCGATAGCGATAGCGTTGTAAAGAAACCATTACAGTTGTGCAATTTCTCAGTTAACCTTTCGCGTATAGAGCACCTATAAATCGCCATTCACAATTAAAGGTGTATTCCTTTCGGTGAATCCAAAAACGGATTTAATATCTTAAAACGGATTTTGCGTTCCTTTCGTTCCTTCCTTTCCTTTCCCGAGGAGTTTCCTAACTGCTGCCATTTGCCGTAAAACATCTGAAAACACTAGAAAATTGTTCATAGTGGTACAGTAAAATATCCGTGTGCTGACCATTTGTCGCTAAAGATTGCTCAAAAACACAAATAAGTAAAAGGTTTGTATCTTTCTACAAACTCGCTTGTGGACGCCATAGGCACGCGATCGTGTTACATAAAAAACGGAGCTACGAAACTGGATCAAACTGAGCCGACAACCTTTAGTAAATTTTCAACTTTAACGCGCTCCTTTCTTGATCTGTTTATGTTCCATCGTCGTTATTCGAACTGCTGACCACAAAATTCTGCTTTGTATAATCACATAATTTGTCAAACAGTAGAAAACATGTCATTTCTTGAGAGGCTCAGGCTGTCATGCACATTGCACGCGTTTGCGAAAGGTTACCAACGTCACAAATCCAATTTCGGATTTCACGTTCCTTTCGACAGCGAAATCCGGCAAATCTCGGATCAGAAATCTGTTTTTGGATTCGCTTAAAGGAATACAGTGTTTTTGATTTCTCTTGGGACGACTGTAATACCCTGGAGAATTTGGAAACAATGGTTATGCAAAATTCTGAGGATCAAGGTGCATTATGGTCTATATGAAAGTCGGTGATTACAAGAGATGTAAAGCGTGCGTAAAATTAAGCTATTTGGCGGACAACCTACATTGTAGTTCCAGGGTCCCCCAGGAGTTGTGCGGGGTTGCGTAAATGAAGACTACGCGACGGGCCAACGCGACGCGCTCAGGAGGGTCCACTGAAACTCCCTGACGAGATACAATCTCTGAAGCTGTAAAGCGCAAGGAAATTGACGAAAATTGTTTCTTCTTGGCATTCAGACTGGTGATAAATTAGCCAAACCACCGTTCTTTGTCGCATATTCTCGGCTTTGCCGTCACTGTCGCAATTTGGCCGAGGGAGGTTGTCGCTTGTCGCGATTTCATTTTAGGCTCTGTCGCTACTTTTTGGGTCATGTCGCTTGTCGGAATTTACCCCGGCAGGGCCTCTTAAAAAGACTGAACGTGACGCACTATTATGCCTTTGTTTACTTCTGATCACATCTTCAAGCGAAGTCTCTCTTTTCAAGCGATTCATCTCAATGCACAATAATTGATCCTTATATTAGTTAAAATCCTATGGTTCATTTATATTAATGCTGTTTTTGCCCCTCACATTGACTGTGTTCGTTCGTATTCAAAACACCTTTACGAAAATAAAGGTCGTATAAGTCATGTGTGATATGTTTCGAGATAAATGGATTATACGCTTTTTGAAGTTTCCATTTTGCGGTGACTTCAGTTTACATCTCCATAAAATGGTAAAAGAAATATCAAGAAACATCACGAGAGCTGAAAATGTTCAAAGGCATGTTTTTGAAACTCGCTAATGCTGACATCAATATAGCGTGCTTGCTGAATGGGCGAAAACACAGAATTGTGATCACAAGATCTTGTACAAATTTAATTGCAAAAGCTTAGCAAGATACAGATACAAACAAAAGCAAACCCCCTGAAACCTCGACGTGGGCTACACTTGTATGCTCTACTCAGTCACCAAACCTTGTCAGTAATAGCTCCTATTTTCCTCAAGTCGCTCTCTGTGAAGCTCCCGGATGGGATGTCCCGGAGAAGCTTTAAACTTGTGTGCGAAATTCTCAGAGTTCCTATTATTGTCCGTGTCTTCTTTATCCTCAGTATCCGAAATTTAGATCTCCAAAGTGGCGTGTGTTGCATTAAATAGAAGGAAATATTTAAAGGAAAAGCCAGTCTTCTAACATGGCAAAGTTGTCACGTCCCTCGCTTATGGACGTGCGTCACATCAGGATTCATCTGCCATTCATCGGCAACTGAGTTGTTCGCTTCACTGACTATGACGGCTTACAATCAAGTCTTCAGCCATAGTGTCGTCAACTGGTGAAATACTTTGCTCATAAATTGTGCTTCTTAATTGCTCATGTACTACATCGATCGATAGTTCACGAAGCAGCCACGGCGTTCCAAACCTGACGCTCAAGTCATCTTTTCAGTCTTTTAGTGTGAACCTACCGTGAACGGCGTGTCGGTTGAATGCAACGCGAGCATTTCTCTCAGTTTCCCAGCGCCAACATCATCTAACTGACTTAAACTCGAACAATGAAAAAATTATTGAGTTACTCCCATGGTCGAATCGCTTCGAACAACGCAAATAGCCTTCTTCAGGTTCGCAACGCCTTGTGGGTTTTTCAGGGGCAGCGCAGACAAAGGTACAAAAAGTATCCGTGCAAGGGTTCATGCAAGAGAAAATCCTATGAAACCATTTGTGAGAACATCGTTTCTACGTACCAGACCCTCGTGTTTTCCCTCCCCCGGATGACCACTTTTTGACACCGACGACCGAAAACCCATTTTACGACTGGGCTTGCCTGGCAGCCCAGTAAAAATACTTTTAAGAGCAAATGGAAGCGATTTTGGATAATTAGCCTTAAGATATGAGCGAAAATCGGGGTAACAAAATACGTTTTGCTCGCAGACGAGTTTAATATACAATATCGGCTTATAGTTGGGCATCTGCCCGTGGTTGTTCAAAAGTTGGATAGCCCTTTTACCGGATAAATCGCTGTCCAGTGGATAAGTATTACGAAAACTAATTGGGTTATCGACTGGATAGTGATTTATCCGGTGGATAGCGCTATCCACCTTCTGAAATTTAAATGCGATGAAATGCGTTTACCTTAGGTTTCTATCGTCAAAACAACAGTCATTCTTGTGAAAAGTATCTCTGAATTCGTGTTTAATAGGGTTCGATCAACTTTGTACAGGACTTGCATGCGGAAGTTCTAGGGAAAAGGGTTTTAATAAAATGTGTTTCACGTGGCGTAGTGGTAACGAAATGGCCTGGCTTGCAGGAGGTCCCGAGTTCGATTCTGGGCAAAACCCATTTTTCTCTTCCCTTCGTTTCTGTTTTTTTCTTTTCCTTTTACGCTTAGTCTTCTTTTTGTTTTGTTTCTTTATATAGCTTGAGTTTTTTAAATTTATAAATTTTCTTCCTTATTGCCTCATTTTCCTTTCAACTTCCTAGCCGTTCTCCCGAAGTCCTTCGTGAGGTCCTGAGATTCACGTATTTCTAGTTTATATTAATATCTTTATATGAGAAGTGTCTACTTAACAATTACTCCTCGAGCCCGAATGTGCTCTGTGTTAATAGCCCATGAGGCCGAAGGCCGAATGGGCTATTGACTCAGAGGTCATGTGGGCGAGAGGAATAATTGTTTTAGTAAAATCCAACTAGTTGGTCAAAAATATCGAGAATAAAAAACTTTTAGCTAGTTATAGCTAGAATTTAATCCTTTTTTGCCGCCTAAAAGCCCGCGCTTTTCGCTACTAATGGACTATAACATATAGCCTAGTAGTAGCTCCACCAATCAGAACGCAGCATTGATAATAGACCACTAGTTGGATTTTACCAAATAATGATATGTTACTCAAGTACATGTAAACCTAGTTTCTTGTGGTCTTGGACTAGTGTCCAGTGTACTTCTAAGGTCAACACTGATACTGTCAATCAATACATTGACTGTGAGTACAGTACATCTCACTATCACATTTACCTTTAATTAAAAGACTTAGTTTCCTTTGTCAACACATAAAGCTAAGTGTTGTTTTGTCAGTGTGTCTTTAGATCATTGAAGTACATTATTAACATCATTCCTAGGTTATTTTGTGAAGTAGATATTAAACTGAAAATGTTCACCATTCTGATTAAGAGGGTGCATTTATCTATTAATTTCGTATCACAGGTAAGCCTGAATTCACTGAACACCCACAGAGTCAGACACTGGTGCAAGGATCAAGTGTAACCTTCTCAAGTGATGCAAATGGTGTTCCTGAACCAACATTTTCTTGGACCAAAGATGGATATGCTGTAACTGCCAATGATAGAATCGTTTTATCAGCAGATCACAAAGAACTTAGCATTACAAATGTGAATAGCACAGACAGTGGAGAATACAGATGTGTGGCTACCAACAGTGTGGGCACAGTTATCTCCAATGCTGCTACGTTAAAAGAACATCGTAAGAAAACTTTTACTCAATTTTTATTTAAACCCAATTGAAAAATCCTGTAGCAATGAGTAAGCATTCTTTTACATTCCACTGCTCCTTTCCTTGATTATCTCTCAGTCAGTCACTCCATATGAGAACTGCCTTTCAAAAAAAGTGCTTGTCATGTGCCCCTTTAACTTGATTACCTTTCATTATTCTTTTATTCAGAATCAAAAATGTTGTGCAATGCTAGAATACACAATTATTTGGTATTTGTTAATCAATGGAGCCCCGTCTATTTCCTTATTCATTAAAAAATATCTTTATATGAGAAGTGTTCTACATATGTTACTCAAGTACATGTAAACCCAGTTTCTTGTGGTCTTGGACTAGTGTCCAGAGTACTGCTAAGGTCAACACTGATACTGTCCATTGCCAGAAATTAGGGACAAGATGGCGGTTGCGCGTACGCACTTAGGCCACAATGGCTGCGAACTCGTATAAGAAAATGTATGGAGATAAGGAAACTTTTTCAAATATATCGATTATGAGCTCACGGGTGTTCGGTGCCCGACTCAACACATGTTAAGTTCGATTAAGTGCTGTGTAACCTTCGCATCTGGGTTTAAAATAGCTAATTAGAAGTAGGTTTACTTACTTCCTGACGTGGCCACTTTTATCCCTCGTTGTACGCTCCATTTCTCCATATATTGTCCACATATTAGTCATGCGAAATACTCGTCGATTAGAGGATAAACCCTTCACTGAAGTAAATTTGCCCGACTCGATGTCACTTCTGCGATGGAAGATGTTTCCAAAACAGTCGTTAAAAGGACGATTTTTGCACTGCAAAATACTTCCAAGGGCGCATTATTTCCCTCAGTTTTCCATCTGTAGTCCAGTAATGGACGCCATAGTTGCGAATGACACATTTCGGTCGGACAAAGCTTCACAACTCCAAACCTCACCGAATCGCCATTTTGTCTGTTGCTACAACTCCAGAGATGCTTCACGGGATATAAACTAGGTTGCAGGCATTCAAAAATCCTCGATTAGCCTACCAGGCTTGGTTTTAAAACAAAATTGTCACGAAAATGTCACGAAAGGTAAATCCGCGTACTGTTTTGTTGCTGTCAGCCGCTTGGCTGACATTCATTCTGGTTAAGAAGGTGCATTCATGTTGTAATTTCTTATCACAGATCAGCCTGAATTCACTCTACACCCCAAAAGTCAGACACTGATGGAAGGATCAAGTGTAACCTTTTCAAGTGATGCAATTGGTGTTCCCATACCAACATTTTCTTGGACCAAAGATAAATCTGCTGTAGCTGCCAATGATAGAATCAGATTATCACCAGATAACAGACATCTGACAATAACAAATGTAAATGGAAGAGACCGTGGGGAATATAGATGTGAGGCTCACAACATTGTGAACACAGTTAAATCCAAGGCTGCTACGTTGACAATACAACGTAAGGATGTTTTATTCTATTCAAAATCAGTTCAGCTAATAACCTGTGTACCACTTGCCTCGTTAGATAATTTCGGCTACTTTGTACAATCCTCCAAGGTCAGTTTGGTGGAACAAGTGAAAACTGATATTACTGGAAAATTTTCAGCTTCGACTACAGCAAAATGATAGGATCAAACAGTTTTTTCTGAGTAGCCGTCATCTTTGATTTTGACAGTAGAAGGAGACTGAGGAAAGGAGAAAGTGAAATGAACTGGGTGAGCATAAGATGAAAGAACGATGTGGGGGAGGAAGGAAGAAAGCACCAGTCTTCCCGGGCCCGTCCCCACCCCCGTCCCAGCCTTTTGTGACTTGTGCCTAGTGTTTTTGCGTCACTCCCCAAAATAATGTTGAAACGTTTTTCTGATGTACCTTGGATCAGTAATATGACCGAAAACGATTTTATATGGTTTTATTTTCAAAAAGTAAGAGCAAACCAATTGTCAGCGAAAGTTGCCATGACTCCTTTTCACAAGTTGCCTAAGGACATATCAGTAAGTTTTCAGACTAATAGATTCTTCGCCCTTTTTTCTTTTGTTCTTTGAACTTTCTGCGTATGAAAACAATTACAAAGGAAGTGGTTTGAAGTACTTGTATTTACCTCAATAGCAAAACCGTTTGGCTACCCTTAATCGAATTACAAAACTCTCTTGCAGAACTTAACAATGTTCCTCAAAAACGCTTCGGTTGACTAACTGTACTACCTATATCATTTCAAACCTGGCCACCAGAAGTTTTCCTTCTCCCCCTTGCGGTTGGCTTTGCTGCTCGTTATCGCTGCTTTGCGACTCAAGTTTGTTTGAGAAAATAAAAAGAGAATGAAAACCTCTGGAATGAATAAGAAAGACTGTTGGGCAATAACAAAATATGCACATCATTTCAAATTGCTGCAATGTCTGTCCTTTTGGCAACCTTTTGAGTAGAGGTGTCCGGTCTACAAGTCGTTTCGCTGCATCATGAAGTTGATTCATACTGCAAAGCATTTTTCGTTTCACTGCATCACGAAATAGATTCCGATCAGAATAAAGGCTGAGTCGCTTCAAGACACTGAGGCACTTTCAGAGTTCACTCTCCGTTCTATTCGTAAAGCTTTTCCACCGCGAAGCCAAGTTAGTATTCCTCGCTTCACGTTAGGCCAGTTTCCCTACTAGTTAGTTGAAACGAATCCAGCACAATAAGTTGTAATCGACAACTCCGACAGAAAAGGAAGAATACAGACATAGAGAATGCTCCGAGAGTAGACCACTTTTGTCTGTTTCATGACTTTCATCTTTTAGTTTATGGTACCATAGAATAAAGCTGTAGGACGGAAATACCGCATGCTCGGACTTGGTAAGCTTGATGTGGAATATTAAGGGTAACGAATTAATGCCGTTCTTTTTAACTAACACCAAGTTTAACATAAGTCACGGCTAATACAAACTTAAGCTTGTACATCTTTAACATCATCGCTAGAAACAAAAGTTTTTTGTATGTTTTCCAAAATGCTGCAAAACGACTTTGATATGTAATAAAACGACTTAGCTTCATATGTATCTTTATTTTCTAACAGCTTTTCTTGGACTTAATATTGATGTTAAAGAAATCACTTCTGGCACTGAAAGCTGTCCTCCTCCCAATGAGGTTTTGAGGGCCTTTGCTTATAGGTTTCTTCATCGACTAGATGGTTTAGAGGAGCTTGGCCTTTTAGTGCACTATCTCGAAAGGATGCGCAATGTGTTGGTCGTTGATACCCACGTAGACTGCTTGATCGTCACAGTGAAGTGTAGTTCTCTACAGATCCTTGATGAACTGTGGGAAGACTATCACACAGGTCATCTAAATGAAATGGCGCAGAAATATCTCGTGACGAAAGAAATTCTAAAGAAGTTTGGCCTAATCAAGCTGAAACTGGTCACAACCATTGTGGAAGAGGAGTATAGAGCTTGTAGACAGTATTTCTTGCAATGGCCAGGTTTGTATGATAGTTTGAGAGAGTTCATCTTGTTATAACGAAAAAAATATTAATGTAATTTTCTTAATCTCCTAAGTTAAATATTGTGTATAATGTAAGTTAACAATAGCAATAAAAGCTGTTTCTTTGAAAATTCTAGATTCTGGTATACAAGATGTCGCTTCTCTAACACCTACCTCGCAAGGAGAGGATACACACGATAAGGATGTAAAGGATGAAATACCTGCAGGTGCAGCTGCACCTGGTGAGTGTGCAATTTTGTCGTATTTCAGTCTTATTTTTTCATGCCTGTAACATGGTCGTACTTATAATAACTCGTCCAAAATGTTGAAATCATCGATCAAGCGAGAGCTGACTATAAGCAATTAAATCAGTGGTCAAAAGTAACTCGGAATCCCTTTCGTACTGAATATCTCACTCTGATTAGTTTTGTACATCTTAAGTTTGAGATGTGTGGACATCGTTTTAGAAGTGACATATTGTGAATAATCATTTGATTGATATCCGGCCTTACGATGAACGTTTCTTTGGTTTTACGCATTAATTATTTGGGCATTGACAGCCGGGTGGGATTTCAGCCCGGTATTATTTACATGAGGCGAGTTACAATTGTCGCCTGGGACGAGCCAAGTTTTGAAGCAAAGGTTTTAACATGGGACCCAAGCCCCTGTATTTAGGCTCTATAAGTGACACAATCCTAGATATCTCTATACAAGATGTCCCAAAACTTCGTTCCTCTAATCTCAGGCGCTATAACTTTTGATCAAAGATTTATTCTTGCATAAAATTTCTAAAGATGTTTATTGCTTTATCGAGTACATGTATTGAGAATTTCAGTAACCAGCATTCCTTCTTTGTTTTTTTTACCACATTCTGTAGCCGTTGCGGCATGGAGTGGGATACAGCATGTAGAGCCACAGATATCAATTTTGAGCCTTTTTATCACCTGGTACGTAGGAGCCACTTCTCCACTTCGACCCCAAAAACAACATTTTTTTACTTTAGGCAGCTGAAAAAAAAATACTTTAAGCATTCATCCAAAAAAAGATAATCATCCCAGCTCCTATCCAGAGCAACGCTTTTGTACCTCTTTACAAATTTGAGACGAGCTGATCGTGTTTGGCAGACTAGCAGAGGTTTTTTTGTCATCTCTGGCTTTTCATGAAACTCCTCTAGACTTGGCTTGCTAACTATCGTGAGAGTTATCTCGCTGAGTTGTCTCTTTTTTATCTAACCTTCTTCAAAACTATTTTAGCCGCTTTATTCTGGACTATCAGTCTTCCCCTTCTTTTTTTGTCTTCAAAACCTTCATTTCTCGATGACCATTTCACTAACCCAATTTTCGGATTTTTCCAGGTTTTTATTTATTTATTTTTTTTTTTATTTCCACTGATAAGCCGGTAAATCGAAGTAAATATGCTTATGCTCTCACGTAGCTGAACGTTTTCGCGTTTAGAGGGTTTTTCTTTCATGATTTTCACAAAACACAAGGAAGGAGTTTGAGCAAATCGGGCTACAGAATACGAAAAATATGTGGCGGAATAATATACTCGCGTACGCGCACCTTTGGCGCGAAGTACGCAAATCGAATATTAGAGTCACAAGATGGCATACCAAGTATAAAATATTAAATTACATTGAAACACAATTTTTGTTTAAACGATTTGCTTACCAAGTCCAATAGGACTACATTACGGTCTTATAAAATAGAGGAACGAACTTTTGGGACACCTTGTAGTCTTTTGTTTTTGTTTTTGTTGATGATGCTGGCAATGATCGGACTATCTATCCCATAATTAAGCTCCTCCCCTTCCCTTTTCAGTGCGTTTCCAAAGTTATTTATCCTTACGCAAGCACGCCTAGCCACCGTGTTATTATTATTATGACTGATTTGGAAATGATTACCAAATAGCCATGTTAACCCGGCTTTCATCTAAATAGAATTGTATCATTGATTTTACTCAATAACTTTAGTGTAACCTTGAGATGAACTCCGTCTTGTTTGTTTTTCTTCTTTGGGCAATCATTATTGCTTCGCATCCATGATAACATGTCTGTAAACAATGAGTCAGTACGGATTTGCAGAGTTCTTACGGCCAGTCTGAACGTTTTGTAGTATCTTCACCATTCAGGCAGTTTTCAGAACAGGATGCCATATGTTTCCTTTCGTTGGTGTCTCTGATTGTTTTGTTTGTTTGACGGCGTATCATGAACATGTTTTCCTCGTTTTTTGTCAAAAAAAGGGTTTTGTATACCGGTATATTTAAAGTGTGGTGTTTAGGGAATAACCTCCGTGAGAAATACGCTTTTACTTTTATTCAGCACTCGAGAAGCATGTATTGGTTAATTTCAACACAAGCATATAACCCTGAGGCGTCCAAATTCCCCCTATTGCTCGGGCGTTTCCATGGGAACGATCCGAGCTATTAAATGGGAAGGGTTTGTTTTTCTTCTGGCACAAATCGCCCTCTGGCGCCCTTAACGCGTGCGCAAGATATAAGAGTATGCTGCGTAAAATGGGTCAACGTTCCAAACCACAGCACAGAGCACGTAGCTGCCTGAGACATGGTGAGCAAAGGCATCTCTATTCGGTTTACAATAAAAGATGGAGAGCAAACGGTTCAGTTCCGTCAGAGATTGACTATAAACTCTTCTGCGTGAACCTTAATTATCAAGAAGCCCTCTCGAAGTAGTAAGCTCTCAACGGAATTTGAACAGAGTGTTTCTGAATTCTGATCAACTCAAGGGTCTTTTTGAAGATACTAGGAATTCCCACCGTCTTCTAGCATTACTCTAAACTCACTGAAAAGGGACATATTCTTATGTGCAAACTGTCATCTCAAACTCTAATTCAACGACCAGTTAATTCAAATTTCCGAGAAGGGGAACTACTGTTGCAGTGTTACTGTTTATATACTTCACTATATGAATGATTGGTGTACTCTAGTGTATTGAACAGCGTACTTGCCAAGCTATATTTTTCTCCCTAGAACAAAGCATTCTTGTATATTATTCTTAGTTTGGAGTCCAAATAAATGCTAGCTACATTCTCGACCCCAGTGCTTACGGATCTGGGAATGTGCGCGTATCTACATACATGCGCATGCGTAATAGCAACCCAGAGATTAGGATTGCCGGCTCCTCTTGTCGGCTGCAATAATAATATAATGTATGAAAATAATAATAATTTAAAAGGTTACAAATATATAAGACAATAATAAAAATAAATATATCTGGGAATGTATCTGTAAGAATTTTTCAAGTAACACCCTACCTCATCCTGCTTACTTAATTAAATGCTATGGAAATCTCACTAGTAGAATATATCGATTATGAATAAAAAATAAGCTAAAGGATCCCAAGACTTTATTTTTTAAAGTAGGTGTGTTAACATAACTATCTTTGTATTTCAAAATATGTAAAAGACGTTCATGTAAAGAAGCCTTAAATATGTGGGTAGGGATAACTCGAATACTTTGAGGACTACTCTCCACATTCTTGCGCCGAATCTTGAAAAAGGTCAGGAAGAACAATTATAGATTGAGAGGTGTCGCTGTGCTTTAGTATGACATTTCCATGCTAGGAAATTTTTGTGCCTTTGTTAGTTGCGATATGGGAAACTAACTTCGAGGCAGCTATTGGAGGAAAAAGCTCCTGCGACTGGTTTTGGAAAAACTCTTCTCAGTGCCAAGAAATACGACTGCAAGTAAAATGGTGTTATTTTGTAGCTATAACAACTCCGATGTCTTTGCACCCCTGATCATCACAAATTTTCATCTTTATCTAATACAGGTGTGGTGGTCATTTTTCCAAATCTTTGTTAATGGTGACGTACTTAATGCTCAAACCTGGGAGGTATTTAACCTGAAAAACTCCATCGAGTTACCTTAGGCCTCGAGATCGCTGACACCCCAGACGTCATGAATAGCAACCGGAAGTTCGATGTCTCGCTTTATGGAACGCTTTTACCAGTCTCACACAAAGAATCTGAATGCCTTTGTTTTAACTCCCGCTGTAAGAATTTGTCGAGTCAGAGCAATGAGAGAGAGAAAATATCAGCTTCCTCGCTATTGCCATTATATTGACGTAAGGGACGTTATCGTTGTTGTCACTCAAGGTCTCAAATGAGTGCTCTTAAGATGGATTTCCACTGTCGCGTAATTTTTGCGTGTGTACATATAACAGAGGTATGGCAATAAACGGGGTATTATAAACGACGTCGGTTCCTCACTAACAGCCTGTGCGTATTAACTTGGTGTGCACAGTTGGGTATCGGTATTGGTTGGTATATATTCCTAGATGTCCACATTTAAAAGCGGAGCGCTTTTATAAAGTTGGAGTTTGCATTGACTGATTGTCTGCTTTGATTAGGTGTCCATATAGGCGGTGTGTTCACAGTAAGAGGGTCTCCGTATTTACGCAGGGTCTGATTAAGCGTGGCGTGTGTCGCAGAAGTATTTCAACGTTGATATATATAGCGCAAATGTTGTCGTGGTTTTCGGGTTACGATGCTCCCGGATCAGTTCTCTCACACATAATTTTTTCATTAGTGTCCGCATCACCGGAGTGTCCGTTTTTAATGGCTCGCCGGTTCTGAGGCAATTTATGCATTTCATTGTTTTACTAACGTTACGCTAGTGCTTCAGTGAGAAATTATATCCAACAACTTGGTTTATCATGATTTAATGTTGAGGTGTTTCCTTTATTTTAGCTGAAGTTAAGGAAGACCTCGAACAGATGAGAAAAGGAATAGAAGAGTTGATTGACAAGTCGAGTATCTCAAAGACAGAGGAAGAACAAAATGAAGGTCGGTTTTAGACCTAAAAGAAAAAGCTTATTTAAGGTGGTTTATATACAGAATGGTATCATAACCGGTGGGTTTTATGAGCCAGTTCCGTTCTTGTTATTCCGACCAGTAACAAAGGTTGCGCCGTGTATTTAACTCTCTGTACGCAGGGAATTGGGGTGGCCTGGGTGGGTATAGATTCAACCTTTGTGGTCTGAAATATTGTTTGGTTTAGCGTGGAAATCGGGAAATGGATAAGCTCTCGAAAAACACGCTTTGAAAACCAAGGAGTCCAAGAAATATTCATTCACTACACTGCTATGATTGATTGAGGATTCTTTTAGAAGTAACCTCTGGTTGCTCGCAAAAGGTAAACCTCAACTTCCTTGCTGTTATGAAATGAGGAATGCCTGGGAGCGCGAAACTGTGGAAACTCATTGTCTTTGAGTTATCTGTCTGGACAAGTCTATATAGCGTAACAAACGTTTGTTAAGGCGTTTTGAAATAGTTTTTCTGTTCGTAACTCAATGGTGTATTTTGTTTGCACTCGTTTTAACAGAGTATTTATATGCTTTGACTCGCACTTTGTAATTAATCCTATCGGGGTATTGACTTAATTTACCTTCTGCTCTTATTCATATCAACAGATACGTGTATATTTAACAGTTATTCCTCGAGCCCGAATGGGCTCTGAATCAATAGCCCTATTGACTCAGAGGCCATTCGGACTCGAGGAATAATTGTTTTAGTAAAATCCAACTAGTTGGTCAAAAATATGGAGAGTAAAAAGACTTTTAGCTAGTTAAAGCTAGACTTTAATCCTTTTTTGCCGCCAAAAAACCCGCGCTTTTCGCTACTAGAGGACTATAAGATATAGCCTAGTAGTAGCTCAACCAATCAGAACGCAGCATTGATAATAGACCACTAGTTGGATTTTACTAAATAGATTTAGCCAGGGTTAAAAGCGAAGCTCTCGCTAATATTTATAGTTTTGTTCCAACAAAACATGAAATCGTCTAATGTTAAGCGGCGAAGGCAACGCCGGAGAACGAAAAACAACAATAGGTCTAATTAGCGAAAAAGCAACTTTGCACGTGTAGCACACTTTTTTTGTACATTTCTTTGCCATTGTTTTGCACGACTACAACGTGAAACTTCCAGAAACGTCTTAGTTACACGTTTTATGGAGGAAATGTCGTACGTTTTTACGTTCACTTTTTTTCACTGCCGCTCATTTTCATCTTGCATTGGTGGCCGCTAGCATTTCTCATTTTGTCACCGTCTTCCAACAAAAAAAATGTCTCCTTCGTTTTTTCTCTCTCGCTCTAAATCTCTGTCGCCCTTTTTCTCGTTGAGCTTCGCTGGCCTGCCGCCCACTTTCTCTTTTTCTCTGTGTTTCTCTTGCTCTATATTCCAAATTTGTGGACATGACAATTAATCTAAGCTTAATACTTTTGAAAACACGGATTCAGAGACAATTTCCGCTTTCCATTTTCCTCTTCATTGAGTCTTTGCTTGTCTCTGCTTTACAAGACGCCGGTGGCTATGCGATTTCCCGTCAAAATAACCTCGAGTTGCATTTGGGTTGCCATGCCTGTTGATTGAGTTATTTTACATGGTTATGCCTGTGGTGCGGATGGACGGTCAGGCGGTCGGTCGGTGTACGGTCACGTGATTACCAAATTTTCTCGGATGGGTAGTTTACCACATTTTCTTACCCATGGTTCGCGCGCGAGAGCTCCGCTATGACGTGAAAATGCCTAATTTCACGTTTCATGGCGGACATAAGGGACCTTACGGGCACGCAAAAGTGTGCGTGTTAGTTTTAAGTTTTGTTGCAAAGGAACTCTACTGAGAAGTTCTTCTGTATGCGTCAGTTCCGTGACCTGTCTGCATCATCTGCTGTTGACATTTGTGTTTTCAGAATTTCACTGTAAAAATTTATTTCAGTCACAGATTACAACCCGGAGCAGCTCAAAGACGTTTGCAAACACAACATTGGATGGACTTTTTTTTGCGGCAGACATTAGACTAATGTTCGTTGAGCAAGTTGAAGCGGCGTTGCAATGATAATCGGTTTGATTTTGTGGTGGATCCAAGGACCATGATATTATCATTTTTTCATAACCTGCGTATTGAGAAAGGTTATGGGATTTACGTAGTTTTAATTTCTGTTTTCTTTACCTTGTTCATTGTAGACTCAAGGGAACCACCTTCCGTACTTTTGGTTGGGTTATCAGATAAACAGGAAACAGGTTTAGGTATAACAATAACGTTTTTTCACGTGGTACAGTGATCTGTAAAAAGAATTGTATGTAAATGTAAATCGGGAGAAACAATTTTAAATAGAGAATTATCAGTAGGAGCAAACCGTCCCGGGAAGTTCGAAAGCACAAGAAACTGTTTTAGAGATCTAAAATACAGTTGCTAGAAAATGACGCATGGCATTCACATTGAGATTAAGGACTCACTAAGAAGTGACCTCCTAGTTGTACGCTAAATTTAAAGCCTGTGATCGTAACTTTTCAGTTGTTTTTACGTAGCGGATAACAGTGCGTTCGATTGAACTTATTCTGGAGTAAGAATATATAGTGCAGTGCGAAATGGCTACTCGATTGACCTGCTATAATTCCAAACATTCCGCTCAAGGGACTGTGTACTTATCAGAATTGTAACGGAACTGTTATATTTATGCACAGATTACACTTCAGAACAGCTTAACTACCTCAAGCTTTGTTACCTTGCCTTTGTTGTCGTGGCCCAGGGACTGCGATTTCTATTTAAAGGGCTATGGGACGACCAGTACAGGAAGCTGCTTGGGGAATGGATGGATACACCTTGGAATGGAAAATACTTCTATAATTTGGAATCTCCGAGAAATCATCGAAAATTTCCCCGTCAGCTTGCCACAATGATCAATGGGAATACAGAAGAATGGGATTGCGCTATGTTCTTCTATGCCATCCTTTCCTCCGACTGCCTACGTCATGGTGTCATTGAACAAGTCCGTTCTGCCGTGGATGATCTCAGGATGTTGCGCAATGAAATTGCTCATTGGCCTCAGGCCTACGTCTCATACCCAGACTTCTCTTCGATCTGCATTCGAGCTGAGGCGGCATTTGAATCACTCAACCTCCCTACTATTCCACTCCAAATTATCAGAGAAAAAGTACATTTTTCAAGTGGAAGTACGAAGGAACTTGTATTTCTTCAATTTATTGAAGGTAAAAGTTGTTTTTATTTAACCTCTTTTTAATTAGGAAACCTACCATGCTTAACTTAATCTTAAATTGCTGATGTGTTTGTCCAAAACATTTAAAGAGGAGGAGGTGGTCCTACGGAGGACAGTGTTCGATGGTAACGCCGGTTAATTGTTGTAAATCCTGGCTTCCAGAACGTCGGTATTCGTACAAAGAAACTTAAGTTTCGCTTAATCTTAGAGAAACTATGTACAGCCTGAGAGATTTGATCTTTTGCTTGGCTGGAAATCAATGGGGAGTTCATTCAAATGATCAACATTAGAACAAGAAAAGAGAATAAGTTGTATTCCCACGAACGCAACCAGCCCCAAATGTTTGCGCCCCCGCGAAGTTAGTGTTTGAAGTAGGGTCATAAATGCGGTAAAAATTGTTATTTTTTACAGGTTATAGTCATATTTCGTCTCATATTCGATCGGGAGATTTATTCATCATTACGTCGTCTCGAGTAGATACCCGGGGTCAATTTAATAAAACATTACAAGTGTAATTTTCAAGTGTAGCCATTGTTTTAAAGTGTGAAAACAAGGTAGTTATGTGTGACGTCACTTAATTTCACCTAAAATTTCCCGTTCGCGTCGTTCGCATTCAATGCGCGCATGAGTCGTGGCCAGAACGGACGGTCAGATGTTTAGGTTACTTGCCATGCAGCGAACAGCTAAACAGAACTCTGTGGAGGAAAAAATTTTGGTACGGTCAAAGACTAAATAATTGTAATTGGAATTTAAAAATTCTAAGGGCCGTATTTTACAGACCATAGCGGGAAACAAATGCATTAATGGCTGAGTGATTTCCTCATCGGTCAACGATCTTGCCTATACTCCAAGACAGATACAAAATAAGTTTTTTTCACAGTTTAATTTAGTGCTTGAAACCGCTCCAATTAAACCAGAATTTTCGTACCCCCAAAATCACGGAAATGTGCGATTGTAACCTCTAGTTTGTAGCTTTTATTACCTGAGTAACATCTTCCTGTTCCAACGCCAGTATTCATTTTCTTGTTAAACTGCACTCCTATTCAATTAATCACTTCATTTCTTACTTGTTCTGTGTTACTAGCCAATTTTAGGCTAATGCCAATCGTTATTTCTCTACAGAATGTACACCAGAACAAGTTGACTACCTCCGTTTGTGTTACCTTGTATTTGATGTTGTGCCCCGGGGTCTGCGAGTGATCTTTAAAAGGGAATGGGATATTCGTTTTAAAGAAAGGCTTGGAGAATGGCTCGATACCCCTGAGAATGGAAGAGAATTCTGCAAATCGGCAAGACCAGACGGCCAAAGAAGATATTTGCTCGCTATGATGGCGAATGGTAATAGAGAAGAGTGGGATAGTACCATGCTCTTTTACGCTATTCTTCAGTCAGAAAGTATCGGCTCCTTCTTAAGTTTATCTGTAAGGTTACCCGTTAAAGATCTCAGAGAAGTTCGCAATGAAACCGTGAAGAACGTGCAGGGGCGTCTGCAAGCGGTAGAGTTTGAACGCATTGTTCAGAAAGTTCAGGTCGCTTTTGAAACTCTTGACCTTTCAACATCGCCACTTTATGACATGATGCAACAAAGGATGATGCGGCGACAATCTGGTTTACCGTATGTGGAGGGTGAAGTTGGAAAAAAACAACTGCAAAGTGTTGAATACGAGCATGAGAAGGATGTCTCCTCGTTTTGCCGTCTTCCGTTTAAACCTCCAATAGAAATCATTGGTCGTGACAGTGAAAAAGAAAAAATTCTTCAGGAGCTTAAAACGCTGAAAAGGAACAATGGAAACAGTCTAAGCTGTCTAATCATATCAGGAAGACCTGGAAGTGGCAAGTCTCAGCTTGCAAGACAAGTAGCTGAGAGTTTTTACGACGATGCTTCAAAAGTCTCCGACGCCCCTGCGTTTGTTATGTTGCTGAATGCTGAAAGTTCTGAGAGCCTTTTGGAATCGTACATCTCATTTTCCCAACAGATCAAGTGCTCAGAAATTGAAGTTAGCAATATCCTTGTATCGGAAGAAATAACGTCCGACGAGAAAATAATCAGGCTAAAGAATCTGATCCAGGAAAAAATCCATCTTTACACGACATGGCTCTTGGTCATCGATAATGTAACCGGTGTCCGAAGCATTCTTAATTCAGTGCCAGAGGTTGGTAATCCGCAATGGAAAATGGGACAAATGCTTATCGCAACCCGTGACGCAATTGGCCCTGAACTTGCCGTGGATTCTTTCACGTGTCATATCTCGATTAGCCAAGGAATGGAACCAGGTGATGCTATATCTTTGTTAGCCGCGGTCTCCGGTGCTGATGACAAAGAAATGCTTGCAAAAGTGGCAAAGGAACTGGATTATCAACCCCTTGCTTTGGTGACTGCAGCGACGTGCGTCAAACACGATTGTCGGAGCAGTAAAGAACCCAATCTTGCCTGGACAGAGATCCTCAATCATCTGAGAGCAGACAAGGAAATGGAATCCGTTTCTGGTGATGTTTCTACACCCGAGTCGAGTGTCCTCAAATCCACGGATGCAGTAGTATGTCTAGCAGTTGAATCACTGATTCGTACAAATGAAGTCATAAAGTATGTCTTAACCTGCCTGTCCTTGTTCAAACCACAAGAATTTGATTTAGATACGTTGATCACTTATGTTCAGATTGTAGAAGATCTCCAGCATAAAAAAGAGATTACGAAGACGAGTGAGTCCCAGATTAAAGAATGCCCACTACTGTTGCTTGGAGAAGAGGCAAATAACGTTAGAATTGGTGTTCACCAAGTTGTGTTGAATGGCATTAAATCTGCACTGCTCGAAAAGCGTTTGCCTGCTAGTAGCGAGGTTCTTGCTGCTGTTAAATTAATTCATCAAATGGAAATTGATCCATTTGAGGAGAGAAGAGACGAGCTCGTTTTTGATGATCGCATCATTCCGTTGTTACCGTCCTAGTTCTGGTGTAATTGAGGTTCGTGAAGGTTAGGGTGGAAAAACTGGCTTGATTTGGCCTCAATTTCAAATGGTTTAGACCAGCATTTCTGCAGAAATCGTGTCATTCCTCTGCATCAACAGCACGTGGCTATTCTGCGGGTCTTTTTCACTGGCAGTCATTGGGGCTAGTTCATTCCTTGCCTCCTGACTGCCGTCAAGTGGGTGAGCGGACTAAGGCTCTCAATTCACTATGTGAAGACAGATACTTGACCTATGTGCGGATGATTTACTAAACCTTTTAGAATTTTCGAAGTTTAGCGAGTTTAAAAGGTGTTGTGAAGTATTTAGAAAGTTATTTTTAAGACGGATTTATCTCATCTTTTAAGTTTAGTTTTGTTTAGCTTCGTGATAAACAGTTTATAGAAAGAGGAGATTTAACGTATTTCCCCCACATTGTTCGTAGTTCCTGAGTTTCTGTTCTTTGAAGTAGGCTTGTTCGGGGAGTACAGTTGACCTTGAGTTTTACCCACAGTTGAGTTCCTGTTTTGTATGCTTGGTCCTTCCGGGCAGTTTCACTGTTAGCATTTAACTGGTTCTTTGGTACTTGTCGGTGGCGGCTGTGTAGGCTAGTGTAACAATAGCAAACCTGTTGCAATATAAGCGATAAGATATTCAACAGAAGCTCTCCCGGTCAGCTAACCCAAAATAAGTCTACAATTTGGCGATTTAATTCGCTGCGTTAGTTAGTAGAATGAGTGGTAGAAGTTGGTAGAAGGAAGTTGGTGAGCTAAGTGGAAGAGTTAGAAGATTAAGAAGAATAAAGGCAAGATGTAAATCAGATTCCTGGTACCTCGTCGTGTAGCGAGCGAGTTGCTCGAACACACCCCTACAAAGGTTTCAATTATTGGAAAACCCGCTGAGTTGTCTGCACTTTTTTCAACATATTTTTTTTTTCGCAAGAGGAGTATTTTCCAAAAAAAGAATTCGTTATTTTGATAAAAGTGCAACTGTTTCGTACATTCTTACACGCCTTTCTATATCATGGTAAATAAAACCCTACTGAATGAAAAGAAAAACGCCTCAGTCGTTTGACAGCGGTGAATTTAAAACCTTCACTTCCTGACATAGTAAAGGAAATTGAAATGGGGATTGCAGTGTTCAGCATACAATATATGCTAGCTGGTGTTCCTTCCAATTCCCGAGATGGCCACTAATTAGTTGCACTAAACATGTTTCGTAGTTTTTGTTTATTTTTGCCGTTCTTGCTGTTGTCGCAGTCTTATGTGCTAAAAAATCTCCGCGTTTTGTATTGGTGTAGTTTTTGTGTGAATTGTAGGAAAGGGGTTTGTGTTTTATTTACTATTTTTTAATCTGTTGTAAGTTTTATGCGGAAATTAGGCCCCAGGTAGGCACGCCTGGCGAGCTTTAGGATAATTAAAAACAGTTAAACTTTTCGTAGAAGGTTAGTTGTACTTGCCTTCATTTAGCGTAATCATTCAAAAACGTATATATAGTGAAGGATATCTTCAACTGTAGTTGTGTTTTGTTTGTGGGCAATTCTGGGGACTTCGTGGATACTTTGCGTTATACGTGCATGAATAAAAATATTTTTATTTTTTCAGTTAATGCCATGCACATAAAGTATTTTTGTTTTTGTTTCTCAATGACTTCTAAGAAGTCAAAATTTTAGTCATTTTATGCATGAGTTAATGTCTTATTCGAAGTGGCATTGTCACTTGAAGTTAGTAATAGTATTAATAATTAGGTACTTTTTAACAATATATTTATATACCATTTAAATCGTATGCTTTTATTCATGTAATAATCATTGTCCGATAAAACTCAAAGAGCAAAGAGTTTCTGACGAAATTGTTCCTATTTCCGGCTATTACGAGAGCCACAAAAAAGCGGAAATAAAATGGAAAAAAGAAAAAAATTCTACCAGAAAACTTCATTGTTTGCAGTTGGAAACTAAACAGGAAAACTGATAATTAGCACAGCAATGATTACATGTAGTATAGGATATGAGTCAATCTCTGATTCTTTCTGGGACAGTTAAAATAAGTATTGTTAGTAGCCTTGAAGGTTAAAGATAATTTTATCGCTTTTTAGTACGAAATAATAAAGGCTAATTTTAAAAAGGAAAAATTTTTGTTAGTAATTATAGGAAAGTAAATAAGCAAATACAAAAGGTCATAGGTTTTATAGAGTACATAGATTTCTAGCTTCCCTTTCATTTTCAGTTGTGACGGTCGAGAGGAATAGTTCTTTTAGTAGAACTCGTTGATTTCTGCGAGCATGTAGTAGTATTTACTTGTGTGTATCAGGATCATAAGTAACAGGAGGCGAAGAGGAGTTTTATTTGCTGCACGTATTTGACGTAGTGCGACCCAAAAAGATATGGCTGGACAGGACAAATTGTTTTTTTTGGCTGCCTTTAGCAATGACAGCTGCAATGACAGCGGATGTTTAAGAGAACATTTTAAGGTTTGTTTCCTTTACTTGGAAAATCTAACCAAGGAAAAATGAAACAGAAGCGTCCACCAGTCGCAGAATTTGAAAGAAAAGGTGGAAGTGAAACGGTCCCCAATGGCAGTGCTTATTTCACTAAGTCGTGAAGGACTCATCCGGTTCCGTGACTCGAGCTCTCAGGCGAGACAAAATGTATTTAGCTCAAAACGCGCACCAAAAGGATGAAGGAGGCTCCAGATAAGTGGAAAAACGAGAAATGAGTTTCTTGTTTTCCCGTCTTACTATTCAAGTTTTCTTGCGAAAATTCTATTTGTTTTATAGGACAATTTGTATAAAACGCCCCGATACTGAGCAGGATCGAAAGACCTTTTCCAGAAAACATTGATTTTAGCTTAGTGGGTAGTGCATAAGATTTCAGGACCAAGCCGCTCCGTTCAGTTACTTGAAAGTGTTTTCGTCGAATGTTTTTGCCCGCGCAGCAAATTAAACTTCTCTTAGCTATTGCAGGCATGAATTTGGCAGAAAGATTTCACATATTATGATGGAAGCTTGTCAATGCGACCATCAAGGACCGTGAATAACTGGCCTCAAAATAACCGAAGTTACCTTTAATTGCCAAAAGTGACGAACATAAAGTTTCTCTTAGCAATTTCAAAAAATGATCAAGACAAGGTTATGAGAATCAATAAAATGATCACTTGAGGGAAGAAGCTTTGATCGTTTGTCAAATTATTTCAACTACTTCTCAAAGAGCTTCTAAGGAGATGTATAGAGATCGGTCTGGAGAATTTGTATGTCGATATGGGGCTTAGAGGGTTAAGGCGGGGTTTGATATCTATTACTTGTTATCTTTTGAAAAAGTATTAGTACCGGCATTTTCATTATATGGAAGTCGTATTAATGATAGCCCCCCCTCGTACGCACATGCAGGGTTCGTACAGAGTCTTGAATTCTGGAAAATAGAGGTAAACTCTTGAGTTTCCTTTTTTAGGCTAAGCTTAAGCTACAACAAGTGCTTTATAAGTTTTTTTTTCCTTTTGGTCAAATCTTATTCAATCTCGCCCGTATGTTTGCAGCGCAGCAGGAAAAACGCTTTGTTCCTTGCGTCTTTTAAGGTCTCTACTGATCACCTATTTGATAACCTTGAGTCTGGAAAAAGAAATTATTGTTTTGGCAAAAAAGTCTGCAAAAAGTCTTGAATTTCGGATCCAAAAACTCCGTACAAACCCTGTAATAACGCATTTTTAGGGGCATTGTTCGCCCTCTGTGGGTGGTAGTTAGAATAATAATAGCCATAATTTTTTTTCAATAAATTACATTGTTGTACACCCCGTGCTATTTTTCAATAAATGATCGTTTTAAAGTGGCATGACTGACGTTTATTTGCGTTACAAACTTGACCGTTTAAATTCTTCCATAAGAAGTCAATGTGAACCTCCAAACAGGGGCACCCAACGATGGGTTCCTCCTAAATGCATTGAAAACACTTTTTAGGCTATCCAGAGTACATATGCATTCTAAGCGGCGCTATAAAATTTGTATCTGTTCGGTCGTCCTGGGGCAACTTGAGTCTGTTCGAAATTACAAGGGCTTGCGTATTATTTTCCCGAAAATTTTCGATGCAATTTTAAGTTTTACGAAAGTGAGAATTTTTCTGATTCCTCTCTTAATCGCATTTTGAATGCGAAAGTGTTAGGTTTCCTTTTCTACAAGAAATAGGCTAACTTGGGTACTGAAGTGCAAAAAATTAAACTTTAGAAAATCGTTGGGAATTTATTAGAGATGATACAAAAATTGAACATGAATGGAACGGTCATCTAGAAATTTTTAGCTTTCCTCAAGCTATAAAAAATTCTAGGGAATTTTTGATTCTCCGAACAGATATTTACAGCAAACAGTCGTTGGTGCTCCTGCCCAAAGGGAAAGGATAATTAAGAGAAAGATTCTTAACAAAAAAGAAACGCAAAAAAAGGCTATGATAACCTTGAAACCACAACAATAAAATAGACGCAAACCGAAAAATACTGTTTTCTAGTTTTCAAAACAACTTTGTCACTGGCTTAAAACATTGCAGAAATTGACCTTTTGACAAATAAGACCCTAAGAACCACTGAGAACCGACCGGTCACAAAGGAAAAATCTGATCACTAAAATAAAAATAAAGCCTCCAGATGAGTTTTGTTTGATAGATGCTACTATCTCACACTCTATTCATTGATCAAAATCACACACAACCTTTCTTTCACCTATCCACTTCTCCCTTGTAAGGAAATGATTGGCCCCCACATTCACAGATAAAAATTGTGGGGGTGTGAAAGCTATCTTATGAGAATCTTAACCAACACACAACAACCCTGAACGTTCATGGTAGAGAGGCCACAACTACCTTCAAAGCCATCTCCTCCAGGATGCGCTCCATCTGAAATTAACTCTTTATTGATGTTTATTGTGTTACTGATAAGAGATTCCACTGGAATCTGTCACAACGGCCTTACATAATATTATTATGCTGTATCACTGATAGTATGATCACTAAAAGGCCAAGTCGA